CACCTGCGGGGATGGCTCCCTCAGCCGCAGCCGGGAAATCAAGGTTCACCCGCTCTATGGTGGCAACGCCTGCAATGGAACTAGCACCGACACCACCAGCTGTGATCAAGCGGGCTGCCCAGTCCAATGCCAATGGTCAGAGTGGTCGGCTTATGGAAGCTGTACATCATCCTGTGGTACAGGACAGCACTCCCGAACCCGGGAAAAGACGGTCTTGGCTCAGAATGGGGGTGCAGACTGTACTGGTGATGGTAAGGAAACAGAGGCATGTCCAGACCTACCAGCCTGCCCCGTAGATTGTGAGTGGGATGATTGGTCTCAGTGGGAGAGCTGCTCCACGACTTGTGGCAAAGGCAGTATGAAGAGAAGCCGAATCCGAAAGGTCTACGAGAAAGATGGCGGACACACGTGCTACGGATATGAGGACGATGAGAAGGCAGCGGGGGGACCCCCATTATATATCATTCAATAGTATTTGTTTTTCAGGGTACGTTTCTGCCAAATATGATGACCTTGCAGAGGCTTTACCGGCCAGCGACTACTTGAACTGGTTTTCATCAATCCCCACCTTTGTCAAACTTGCTTCTTGAAGATTTGAGGCCTCATGTAGGCAGCCCAGGTATTCCTTTTCTTGATCCACCCCTTCCGGCTGAGACTCTCGCAGGTCTGTGAGTCCGACCCGTGTCCAGTGGACTGTTTGTTGGGCAGCTGGACCAAATGGTCTGAATGCTCATCCAGTTGTGGCGGTGGGGTAGAGCTGCGAACCCGACAAATCCTGGTGGTGGCGGCCCATGGAGGTGTTGCCTGCAATACCAGCGACCTGCTGCAGAGCACAGCATGTGAGGAGGTACCCTGCCCTATCCACTGCGTATGGGGACATTGGAGCGAATGGAGCACATGCACCAAAGAATGTGAAGGAGGTGTGACCTATCGCCACCGCTCGGAAGTGATTGTGGCCGAGTATGGAGGCAAACAGTGTGAAGGTTCAGCTGATGAGGACCGAGGTTTGAAATTTCTGGTGAGATATCCATCATTGAACTTTGTTGTGCGTGATATATACATTACACACACACATATCATATCATATCGTATCGTATCGTATCATATCGTATCGTATCGTATCGTATCGTATCATATCATATCACACACGCACACACACACACACACATATATATACACACATACCTATACCTATACATCTATTTTTCTCCTCAATCCATTCAGTGGTCAATACCCCCCCAGGTGATCATTCAACTATTGGGTTTTTCCAGGAGATGGTTTGCAATGCCCACGGCTGTCCGGTGGACTGCAAATTTGGCGATTGGTCCGAGTGGAGCGACTGCTCAAAGAGCTGTGACTCCGGGAACAGGAGCGACTGCCGATGTCTAGGGGCTCTTGACCCATGACCCAACTGGTTGATCAGTTGATCCCAAGAAACATGGTGACCACCCATAACCCATAACCAAGATGGATAAACAGATAATCGGATAATTTACGAACTATTTTTCTACCTGTTGCGATGGTTGGTAGGGTGTATCTCAAGCACCTTTCGCGCAGGACAGCAGGCCGGCCACTGATTACAGCTCCGCAGTGGGGCGGCCAGCCCTGTGATGGAGGCATCATGAAGAGTGAGTATTGCAATGAGCAGTCTCTCGCCTGCACAAGTCAAATTCTAATGTGCAAAATGAGTTTTTTGCCATTGACCATTCCACTTGGATCCACTTGGCATTGGTTTTCTAAGGCCATGCCCAGAGGATTGCACCTGGGGCGACTGGTCTCACTATTCGGTTTGCTCCAAAACCTGTGGAGGGGGCGAGATGCTTCGCACCCGGCCACGTATTGGGCAGATGTATGGGGGCAGCCCCTGCGATGGCAACGATACGGACTCCACACCTTGCAACACCCGGGGCTGTCCTCAAGATTGTGAATGGGGGCCATGGTCTGCATGGACAGGCTGCTCCAAGGAGTGTGGAGGTGGCTCCATCAAGAGGTTCAGAGAGGTGATCGTGGAGAAGGACTTTGGGGGTGATCCATGTTTCGGCTCCAATGCCCAAGAGGCCGGCTGCAATTTTGACGTGTGCACCATCAATTGTGAGTGGAACGACTGGGAGCTCTGGAGCCCATGTAGCAAGAGCTGCAATGGTGGAACTCGCACGAAACTGCGCAACAAGAAATGGGACTCCTGGATCTGGCGATGTTTTAAAACACCCTTTTCATATCTTTTCATTTCCTGACAGCAATACAAATCCACCAATCATGGGGAATCTCTACAGTACATTGTTTGTGGCCGGATATCCCTAGGAATCCTCCAATGGTGGATTGCCCTGCCTGGGTAATGCCACGGACATGGAGAAGTGCAACACCGATCCATGTCCCGTCGACTGCACCTTCGAGTTATGGGAGAGTTGGGGTGAATGCTCCACCAGTTGTGGCATGGGATCCCGCTTCCGCACACGGGTGAAGAAGGAGGAATTGTATGGAGGAGAAAGGGAAAGGGGCAAGGTGTGAGTTGTCATTTCAAGTTTTCGTTTCAGCTCTAAAATTGATGGCGTATTCCTCTGTCTAAATGAATCTCAGTATCAAGTGGTAGCAAGGCTTCGATTCATTTCACACTTCCAGAAGCCTCGTTTGTAGCACTGGATTTCTCTTTCGTTCGGATCCTTGCATGGGATTGCATTGGTCGTTCCTTGAGTCACACGAGGAGCGCCATGTCAAGATGTGATGTGGGAGGTGGGTGAATGCAACAACCCAGAGTCACCCAACTGCCCGAAGCCTACAACGAGTACCACCACCTCAGTTGGGGCCCTAGCCTGACCACTTGGTACACAAGCCTGGCACTAGAACTTCCCTGGAAATTTGTGAATATGCAATTTCTATTCCTAGCAGGTCCTAGCAGGCTGGAGGTTATATAAGATTCTAAGATTATATAAATTTATATAAGCTTATTAAGCTTATATAAATTATGTAAGTCATGCAACGGCCATAGGGCCACCAGGCTTTCTACCCGACCCGAGCCATCGCCCAGTTGGCAGTGCTGCAGCTTCCAGAGGGTCAATTGGCCTGGAGCCATCTGCACAATGTCTGGGAGCCGCAGGTGGGACCGATGCCGAGGACAGAAACTTCTGCGAATCACCATGGAAAATATGGAAAGGGTCAGGTTCAGAATTTTCGACCTACTAAAATTTTGTTTGGGGGTTGGAGTGAACTTCAGTGAACCTCTACAATTATGGTGACTTTGTGCGCCAATTTGGGGAAGCGCGACGGTAGACATGTGCCAATTTGTGCCAGGCCAGCCGTGGACCTTTGGCTGTACCTTCCCATGAGGTGCTGTCCAAGACCTTCACAGAGAGTGGCCTGACGAGTTTCATGAGGGTTGAGGGCCAGAGTTGACTGGAAAAACTTTGTGGGTAGAAGTTTAACATGAAAGTATGACAGTGCCAGGGGTCCGAGAGCGGAAATCCAAGCGAACGAGCCACAGTGGCAGCTCAATTTTAGATGTTGACCCAGGAGACGACATCTATTTTTCATCTGTGAATTGGGATTTTGGATTAGAGGATTATATAGAGAATTCCGAAGCAACCAGAAACGCCAGTGGTTGGAGTTGGATGCAGCCTTTTTCCGAGGCAAAGATCCCAGCTACAAGGGCAAGGCCTACAAGCCCTGCAAAGCTGGAGAGCTGAACAAGACTCTTGAGGCCTTCGAGAGCATGAAGAAGCAAGGTGGTGTGCGGGACCCCAACGTTTGGCTTGCTGCGTGCCCGGACAAATACATTTGCTGTGTCTCTGTGCATAATATGTCGTGCATTAGATATTTTTTGCACCCTCTGGTTTAATCAGTTTAATCCAACCCTTTTGGAGGAGGACTCCTTGCGATTCCATCTTTCATGATGAGCTGTGGATGAATTATTCAGGCTGAAGAAACTTGTGGCTTCTCCAAGGACTTAAATGCCTCAGAAGCAGATGCAGTGAAAGTCATTGATGAACTCATCAGCAACATGTCTGGGGTGCCTTGGGCTAGCATGCAGCAAGTTTTGGTTTTGGGGTTACCGACGGTTACCGTTCTTAACTGAATCATTGATGAATTTGCTATGCAACCAAAACACCTGTGACTTAGCCTTTCAAAACCTTCTAATGGCACAATCTGCTGCTTGACAAATTGACTCCACTGTTGTCTGAAAATAGGATTTAGGACATGGGCATAGGATTTCGGTGTTTTCCCCGTGATTTTTCCACACCCTTCAGGACACCCCGCACCAAGGCAGCACCAGATGCGCAGAATCTGGGCCTTGACGCTGCGCAGGCGGCCAAGGCCTTCGATATCAACAACCTCACGGTGGTTGCGAAGAGCCAACCCGATACCGACTCCTCGCACCTCGGAGATGGCTGGGGCGGGTTGGGATAGGGTTGGGATGGATGTCCAAGTTTTTTTTTTGGGGAAATGGTACCTTTATTTTTTTGAAACCCAAACAAAAACACGAAAACATGATGAAAATCGTTGCGGAGGATGGAGAGAGGCCATCTATTTTCTGAAACTGAGCCTCTCCCCTCCATCTGAGGAAAGACTTTGCGGATGCCTTTGAGGCTAGTGCGAACAAATTGAAGGCTCGTGGGGCTTCAGCTTTGACTTTTGGACTTTGGGCACTACCAAAGTGGATCATATCGAGTGCTTGTAATATGCTGCGCTATGCTGTGCTCCTGCTTGAAAAAACTCTTTCATGATGAGTCCATAAAAGAGAACGACTGGGTTTCACCTTCGCGTTGTGATATCAGTGATATCAGTGATATCCCTTCATCCATGACGATCCCAACGAACTGATTGTGCTAGGGCCATCTAGGGCTAGGCTTCCTTAGTGAAGCTGTTTTTTTATTCACCGTGACTGGTTGATCTGGTTCTGGTGACATAAAAAGACCGTCGAAGCTCCAGTCAGTATGGACCCCCGTCCAAGAAAAAAACACCACCGACTCAATTGGTTGGTGAAAATCATCCAGCAAGGGTTGCGTGATGTTAAAATGGGATATCTCAGTGATATCTCAGTGATATCTCAGTGATATCTCACCATCCATGTCGAGAGCTGTCCCAGCACCTTTTGGCAGCACAGGATGGAAAGGACGTGGTAGCTGAAGTAGCCGGTGATTTGGGGCTTGATGTCATTGAGGCCGACGAGTTCGTCGCCTGACCTAGAGACAACTGAGGGTTGGAGGATGGATGGGCGGGTGGTGACTTCCCTTGGTGGCTTGATGGATTGTTGGCACTTATTGACCCCGGGCTGGCTTGGAACACGGTTGGATTTTCCGTGAACCTAAGGTTGCAAACAAGAATGTGACCGCTCTTTGGCTGCAAGAGTCAGGTGAGTCCGCAGGCACTTTTTTTTCTTCCCCCATCTTTGGCGACATTGGTGTTTATGTCAACCCGAAATCCAATGGTTTAAGACGTTTCAGATCTCACCACATCTAAAATGTCCATGATTTTCTTCGTGAAATGACCATAAATCCATGGCTTTTGACCCGCCCAAGGGATCCCAAGGGTTGATCCCCATTGCCCCAGGGGGGAACCCACTGGGAACATCTGGGAACTGAACCCGTCGCCCAGGTGGCCATGGAGAAAGCCATTGCAGTCCTCGCCGGTGCAAAGGCGTCGGATGTCAAGGTGGACATCACCATCCCTCAGGACAGCACCGAAGTTCGCAACGGAGCTTAACATGATGGAATCATGTTTAAAATGTACTGTATATATATATAATATATATATATAGAATGATCACCCCAGTACATCCATGATTTTTTGAATGGTTCAAATGGAATATTTTCCAGTCAACAGGGGCTTCTGGCAGCTGCAACCATCCGTTGACCCATCGGTGAGGGCATGCTTTTGTCGACCTGGCAGCGGAAAGTGAAGGGGAACGTGGCCCTGCTGCATGCAGTCTGGTGATGACGAACAGAAAGGGGGTCCCCCGGTCCCCCAAAAAGAGAACATGTATATATACCTTTCCGTAGCCAGGGAGCGTGGCATTGTCCGCATGTCCCCCGTCAAAGTTAGATGTGTACCCATAATTGGGCGATAGTCATCAATCCAGTCATAGGGATTTACTGTACATCCCCATGATAAGCATTCCCATTGTGGTTTATGGATGACCATAAAACACATACCATGTTTTGACCATTACACACATGAAAATGTGAAATCCCAAAAAAAATGGGATTCTAATGGCGATTGTCCATTGCCATATTTGACTACAGGGTACTTTGTGTGGATCATCAGATTCGCAGGGAACAACATGTTCAACCACCTCCACAGTCTCAGGTAAACGTGGCCTACATGGTCGAGGCAGGATGATGATGATTCACTGATCACAGCCTCAGTGACGGCCAGCTGCATCCAGCTGCCAGCTGAGGTGTACAAGCAGGATGAAAATAAAGGAAATGCTTCTCTGTTGGCCTCTCGCATCTCTTCCTCCGAGCCATAGCTGCCATAGCTGCGAGGATTTGAAGGTTGGGGCTTTGGGTTTCAACATAACAACCCAGAAATTGAGTCGTTCGGTAGGCTGGACTGAATGGAAGTGAGCTTCTCCCGGTTTCAGAGACCGTTGCCGGTGAGTCTTTTTTTGGCATTTTTCTTCAAAGGATCTGTTGAGGAAGGTCTTCCAGACTTCGGGGGAGCCACTGCACTGCAGTCACAGTGAAGCCAAGGACATTGACACGGTCACCACGGAGGTCCGAGACCAGGCACCGGAAATCGACGGTCGACGTCTGTGTTTGTCAAAAGCCCCAAATCCCGTGGTCATTGCCAGTTCCTTCCTTTTCCTTTTGAACTTGCCATCATGGCATATGACAAAAACAGGTTCGATCCTTTCCGAGGGCTTCATACACTAGGCATGGTGAGTGCCTAGGTGCTGGGGCAAGGTCTGACTTTCACCCTTCGAGACGCTTGACCGTTGGTGGAAGCTGTGGTAAGCCGGTGGGTCGTGGTGGTTGTGCTCCGTTATATTGTTGAACATTGGTTATAATTACTATGATTCTATGACATGCATTCCTACCGTAATAGTACATTATTTACTATGCACATGGGTTTCCTACATTGGTCATAATTAATCTCTTCCCGTTTTTGTGGACAGCAGGATATTAAGCACTTTGAATTGGGCACAGCTCTATGGAGATTTGACCAAAAATACATGGGCTTAAAGCAGTGCGTGTGTGGATGTAACCAGAAACTTTGATGAACTTTGGAGATTTCTCCTGCCATATTCACTGAAATTAAAACTTCACATTTCAATAAACCGCAGGTTGTGCAACAATCAGCACAACACCAGCACCGATGGACCTCAAAGAAGGGGATCAACAAATACCCAAGCATTGGGTAACAAATCTGGTTTTACAACCACTCACCAACCACGTGCACTCAAAACAGAGATAACATTTCCATACACAATACATTTCCAACAAACATGAGTAAACTGAGTAAATAACTAAAATCGAAGGGACCACAGCTGAGGCTGTGAGCCTA